AATGTTTCCATACCTTTAGATAGCAATTTTCTGAATTTCTGAGTTGCTGTGAGTTGCTGTTCAGGATCATCTGAGAAAATCATCTGCACCATATCTACTGTAATAACTTCTTCCTAAAAATTAAAGAAGGATTTCTTATGTCTAGTCCTATGCACATTAATAGATAACATTCTAAACATACTCTCAGTTATTACCTCTGGAATAGGTACAGTAGAGCTGACATCAGGATCCTGAATTGGACTTTCTACCATGGACTCTTCATTTCCTGGTAGAGAAACATTTCGGCGTTTAAACAGCTAAACAAAGAAGAAAATTTTGGAAGACATTAGAACTTACGATAGAATGGGTACTGATGACATACACTTGCAGAAATGCTTTCACCAATACTCACCTTCCTACTCATCCATGTTAAATGGAATTCTACATGAAAGTTTTAAGAACATAGAGGAGAAAAACACTACTATATCTGCATCTTGACAAACTGCACTGCAACGCTTCAGAGAGACACTTAAAAACTGAAGGTTTAATTAGCAACATTTTTCCACATGTAAGAAAAAGAACATAAAGATCTTTTTACTTTTAGTCTTTTATCCCTCAAAATTAGCATTTATTTTTAAGCAGGAAACAGTTTTCTACAAGTTACTTTCTCCTTTTTGAGTTTATAGGCTAATATCAACAACACAGAGCCAATGTCTGTGTTTCAGCACACCGTATTCCTCCCTTCAACAGAAGGTCTAACATCTATGTACTTTCTTTGCATGACAAGTAAACAGCACCTGTATTTCATATACAAATGCAGAAAGATTAAAACAGAAAGATTATTTTAATATAGTTGGAGAAAAAATAGTATAGCTTCACGGTCAACTTTCAAATTATATAACATTAAACATTCTCTATGTCCAAAAATCGCTTTACAATTGACTACGTGCACTTCCTATGCTCAAAATACATACATGTGGTATTTAATAAGCTATGTTTAATGAGTGCCTCTACATTTTCTGGCACACAAGCAAAACATTCAAATTAGCCTGTTTTCTTCTAGAAACCAAACTTGAATTTTTATCTTTCCTCAGGTACTACATTTACAGCTACTGCAGTTAACAATTCTAAGAATATTATGCTGGTTTCTGTAAAAAGCAATGTTAGAATCTCAATCCATTGCCTGAGATATTGCTTATAAGCATAATAATGAAACCTCCTACTTAAATCCTGAAGGTTTTGTCCTCTAGGTGTCTTTAGACACTGTATTTCTGCTACTGTACACACCCTGAACTGCAGAAGCAACTCTATGTGCACATCTACTCATATTTCAAACAGGAACCTAAAACAAACATTCTCTCCCTTGTTCAACACACTTCTGGACTGGGCACAATCCTAGACACAAAACAACTGCAGAATCCTGGACGTAAACAAGGTTTAATTCCATTTAAACCCAGAAAGGAAGAGAAAACAACTTTCCTCTTTTGGAGGAACGGCCATTCTTTCTATCACTCAACAAGGACACAGAAACTCTTGGTTGAAATGTATAAACTGCTGTTGTTTAGGATCATGGTCTATCTACCAGTTATAACTTCTACTGGAGCACAACCACTCTCATCTCCCTGCACAAATCTGACTCTCCCCAGTTCTAGAAGAGCTGTAAAACACCAGTCCAACAAATTAAGACCAAGGAGAACACAACAGTATCCTCATTGTTACAACAGTCAGCACGGGAGAGAAACACTCATTATTTTCATAATTTATCTAAGGAGTACTTACTACAAAATACATAAACAAAACTTTCAGCAGGAACTGCAGTGCAGTTATCCATTGACAAGTTGCTCCAGCTTCATACTACTTCTTACTCTTACATATCTGGCCAAACCAATTTAAATTCTTTTTCCATGCAGTAGCACTACTCTCCCAGAAGGGTAAGCACTCCCACCTCAGAGAAGACTATAAAACAGTGTCTGGAACACTCTCTAGGGTGGGGGAGACAAATTCAGCCACTTTGGACCAAGCAGAAAAACAAAACACATTCCATATTTTCCTGGCAAGAAACTACTAAACATTTTGGGAAAAGGAACTACCACAAAGCATGCAATTACGCAATGCTCCATGTACTGTGACCACTAAAAATTCAATTAACTGAAAATGTTATATACAATAGTTCAGGGATCACTAATTGGTAGGCATTTTAATAAGTTATTGTAGAAAAGCCCTTGGACAATTTGAAATATGGCTTCAAAGATGAAAATAATCCTTCTCCCTTCTAGCAGAACAACTTTGGCCTAAACTCTGGAAGAGAATGCACAGTTTCTAATTCTTACTAGAAATAAGGGTATCCTCTCAGCTCAGTCATGTAAGAGGTTTAAGTCTAGGTTTAAACCTAGACTAAAGATTAAACTTAAGACACCTGTTTCTCCTCTCTGTGCCCTAGTGACTTAAAAGTGCTTCTGTTCGCTTTTTTGTTTTATGATGCTATCAAGAGGTGCCTGCTGCTCCCCAGTCTCTCCCCCAAGATTGCACAGACAACAGACATTCGACGTGGTGCTCTGGATTCTGCTCCACAGGACAACTCTGCTCAAGTCTTTTCACACATCTGAATTTAGCTTCACAAACACTTAAGAGCTCACCAAGATACTGACCTGTTCTTCCCTTTTCTGTTTCCGAAGCTGAATTCCTTCCTCCTCTCTTCGTCTGCGCATTTCTTGCGGATTAAGTGCATTATTCTTGTAGCTTTTCATTCGGAAGTTATCTTTACCCGGGCTTGCCATGTTGTCTATTAAAAAAAAAGAAAAATTACTCCAGAAGGCCAAACCTTGCAAGGCAAACCTGCCATCTCTTGTACTACAAAGGTATCTACAGCAGCAGCTATATATTCCTGTACTAACAGTTCATCTCAGGGATCAGATAATTCATTAAAGGGCATAAGCTACTGCAAAAAGAAAATATGGGTCTTATGAGCACACTGAGAAACAAAAAAGCAAACCCATTACATTGTTAAATTTTGATTCTGTCAGCAAGTAAAGCAATTTGCTTCCTCCTCTCATAAAGGAGATATTAAATATATTAAAAAATGAGGACAAATCCAAGAAGAAAGCCTGTGCTAATTACTGTTTAGTTTAATATTTTACTGCATTGGTTCTTTATTTTTTTTTAAGATGCCTATCTCACAAATATAGGATCTAAAGGTTATGCTGCATTTCCTTCTAAACTGTACACAGAAAAAACTGCAGAAAAAAAAACTGTAGCACCCACTCAGGCATACTCTTTTCCATTTTAAACTAACAAAATAATTGATTCATTCTAATTAATCAAAAGATGGATTAGAGAATTAGAATTTGACTGTCATTTCAGGCATACCAGTTGTGAAAAGATAGAAGTGATAAAATATGATTCTGTCACTGAAATGATCAAACTGACTGACTGACAAAGATTGTTAAGAGCATGGTGCTATTTTTTAAAGGTAGAACTGTAGCCTTCATCTGAGAAATAACTGTCAAAAATATGATTTAAGACTCTACATGAACTGTCACTTGTCCAGAATTCTTCTACAACAAGACAACATCTGAACTACAGCTCTTGAGCTGTGCATAATTCTCTATCAACTTCCATGCTGAGACTATTTTCAATTTTTTTTTTTGATATATCAACAATACCAAGGACTACTGAGCAATAAACACAAGCCATAAGAGAAAAACAGACTGCAAGCTTAGGCAGACATCAACAAGACACTCCAAGGACTCAGCAGCCTGTTTTACCCAAACACATTTGCTTCACAAGACCCTTAGTAAACTACTGCTATGCTAAGCATGCCACCGTCTAAAGCAATTTTCTAGTAATTGTCATATAACTTTTGACGCACAGTTTAAAGCCATTTTTCCAACAACACTACTGGCTTAATTACTCCTAGAACATCATCACTTCTTAATCATTCATGCCTTGCTAATTCAGTTGTGCCAATAAAACTGTCAAGGCAGGCAAGGAACCAAACAAAACAAGCGTGCACCCAGAGTAAGCCTGTTCAGGCCACCAGCTCTATGAAGAGCTACAGAAACACAGCTAGGAAGAAGCCCTCATCAAAATTTTTTTTCAAAAAGAAAAGCTTATGAATGTATAGCTTCTTTCCCCCCCAACAAGGGTTTTGGTATAGACATCTTAAGGACAAAACCAAAAAGATTGGCCGTCCCGGATCTATTCAGGCTTCACGACCTCTGCATTTACACCCAAGGAAACCTCCACTTCTGCTCTGCACAACTATACGCGTGTTAACCCTAAACCCCTCCACCCACCACATCCTGCATCTCGCCCGCTCGCTGTGCCCAGGCTGAGGCCTCTTCTACTCACGGTTCTTCTCCTCCCTGCCCACGCAAGGCTCCCGAAACACGGCGCCGCTCGGAGCCACCGTCCCCTCCCCGGCGGCAGGGCAGGGGGCGGCCGGACGCTGCCCACAGGCTTCGCACCGTCCAACACCCCGGCGCAGGGCCGGGACAGACCGCAAGCCCCCTCGTCCGACAGGGCACCGGGAGTGACCACCCGGAGGGACTACCGGCGCTCTCCCCCGGCGCCTCCTGAAAAGCCCTCTCCACCGGCAGCAGGGCAGGGAAGCGGAGAAACAGCGGGGGAAGACCCCGTCCCAGCACCGGCCTAACGAGGACCGAGCCGCCGTGCGCGGCAACGCCCCGCTGCTGCCGGCCGCCCCCGAGCGGGCTGGCCGGGGGAGCCCCGCAGCAAGGGGCACCCGCACCTCGCTGCCCCCACCCGCCGGCTTCTTTGGCGCTCTCCCGGCTCTTACCCATCGATGCGGAAACGCGCGGCGCCCGCCGCCCTTCAAGCGAGGAGAACCTCGCCCCGCTCCGCCGCGGAGCGCGGCACCTGCGACCCACCGCGAGCCAAGATGGCGGCTGCCGCCCCGCCGCGCGCCGCACTGGCCGGCCGGGCCCCTCCGTTCCCAGCAGGCTCTGCGCGCGCAGGTTACCCGCCCAGGGCCGGGAAACGACACTTCCCAGCAGGCAGCAGCGCTGGCGTGACGCGACGTGACGCGCTGTGATGCAACGTGATGTGACGCAATGTGACGCGACACGACACGACGTAGCGTGACGTAATGTGACGCGACGCGTGAGCCCCGGTGGCGGCCGTTGGGCGGAAGCGCGGCGGTTTCATTTCCTGAGGAGGGAGGCGCCGCCGCCGCCATGTTGGTGCGTGAGGCCTGCGGACAGGCGCTCTCCTCAGAGCCGGCGGCGGCGCAGCGGCCCCTGCAGCTGGGACGCCAGCCCCGCCGCGACGAGATGCCACGGCACGTCGAGGCGGCCCACTCGGAGCGCCCTCCCCGCCCCGAGCTGGCTGAGGGGCTGCCCCGGTGCCCCCTGTGCGGGGAGGCAGCGGGGCAGGAGCTGGAGGCGCACGTCTGGGCGCGGCACGGGCAGCTCCTGGGCGCCCCGGGCGGAGGTGAGCGGCCGCTGCGGGGAGGAGGGATGTCGCGGCTGGGCGCCGCTGAGGTTGGGGCTGGCCGTGCCCCTCATTTCCACCCCTGGGCCGGGGAAGGTTTGGCGGTGTGACGGGGACTGAGCGCCCGGGGGTGGCTGCGCCGTGTGGGGGGCGCGGCGGGGGTGCCCGGTCCGGCGGGAGTTTCATCCTGAGAGCGCGGGTGGAGAGCTCCGGGGGCGGTGAGGGAAGGCGGTAGAGGGAAGTCACTTGGAAGGGGACAGCGAGTGAAGACGTCGCTTGAAAAATCTTCTCCAGAGAAGAACTGAAAACACAAACGCAGAAATAACTTACTTGCTTGTATGCCAATTTCTGTTTTAAAAATAGTTGCATTAAAGGTGTTTTGGTTTTTTTTATGTACGTAGTGCGTTCCAGGAAGCTATATGTTTGCAGTGTCATGGAAAGCGTTGCTGGTGATCATACCGTTAAGCTTCCCTCCAGCCAGTCATGAACTTTGGCTTGGGCAAACGCTTTCCAGAAACAACATGGCATATTAATTAATACGTTTTGTGAATCTAGGAAGGTGCAAATAAAGTCTGGGGACTTTAGGAGGGCAGTAAAGGTGGAGTCAGGCTTTTCTCTATGGTGCCCAGTGACAGGACAACAGGCAGTGGGTACAAACTGAAATACAGGAAATGCCATTTAAACATAAGAATGCTTTATTTATTACCGTGAGAGTAGTCAAAACACTGGAAGGAGTATGTTTTCTGGGGAGCTTGTGGAGTGTCTGTCCTTGGACTTGTTCGAAAACTGGCTGGAAAAGGCCCTGTGTAACTTAACCTGTTTAACTTGACCCTGCTTTGAAGGACTAGATAATCTCCAGAAGTCACTTTGAACTTTACATATTCTATATGGTACTCTTCAATAATAATACTAAAGCTCCAGAAAAAAATATTTATTTTAGGAAGTGCAGGAAGACCAACAAAGTAAGAATGACAGCACATGTACTGTTCTTTCTGCCCACCAACTGCTTTGTTATCACCCAAATAGTACAGTTTTGTAAGCAAGCGTTCTTCTGTTAGCAGGACAGGTATTTTCATTAATGGTTTCATATTTCAGACCAAGCATTTCTTAATACAAATGTTATCATAACAAATTGTGATTATAGGTTAAATGGGGCAAAACTTGGTTAACAGAAAGAAGGAAAATATGTCTTAAAGTTGTCAGGTATTTTGATACAAATTCTTAAATGGTTAGAGGAGAGTAGCAGCTATTTAGAATTGGCTGCCTTTCACTGTGGAGTTTCAATGGCAGCACAAAATTCATTACTGTGTATTTATCTTAGGCTGTATATCAATTAGGGGAGTGATTTTTGCAAAAAAGCCCAGGAATTGCATTAATTAAGAAACTACATTTCTTTTTCAGATATAGGAAATGATGAACAGCTGTATGAATGTCCAATGTGCAGTCTTACCTGTACAAACATTCAGATTCTTGAAGAACATGTGGATTTACACTTAGAGGAACACAGCTTTTCAGAAGGTACATGAAGATACCGACTTGATAATACTTGACAAGCATTTACAAGTATTTGCATGTTGCCATATAGAATCTCAGACAAAATTAAATATTTCTTTAAAAATGGAACTGGACATATACATAATGAAGTGAACATAGTTAATAGCAGGTCCTGTTGCTTTTCCAAATGCTCTACTTAATTACACATGCTAAAAGAAATATTGTCTATGCGTGCTTGTTAAGTAAATGGCCTGTATGTTGGCCAAAACTAAAACTTAGAGCAAAAAATATTTAAAAGACAGCCATTTTTTTTTTAATTTTTATTTTTTCCCTACCTGTATAGAAGATTTACATACACAGAATGTAGAGCGGCACATTCTGGTGTGATGAGCTGAATATCTATAGCTTATGAAAACTTCAATTTTTTTTTCTCTTTTCTCTAAATGCTTGTGCTGATTCATCAGTCATAGCCATAAAGGAATCAAAATTATTTTTTTTGTATTAGCGTGGCTGATGAACCCCTGATCCTAAATTTGTTTTTGTCACTTTGTTATGAGACTGCTGGCAGTGATCCTAGAAGCTGGTAAGTGTGTGGTATTCAAGAAACTGGGACTTGTTGCTAACAATGAGGTGAAACATAGTAAACAAAAGTTGTTTTCTTAGTAGTAGAGCTACATGCATTATTTACCATGTAATTGCTTCCGTAGCTCTGCATAAACTTTGTCCAAGTCAAGAGTGTTGTGGTTTAGGCTGAGTCTGGGTAGACTGAATGCAGTCAGTGCTGTTTACTGTTTGTTGCTAATAGCTCAGAATGGTGCGGGATGCATCTGCTAATATTAATGCTCACTTGTGTTTATGTTTGTCTGCTTAGAAAAGAATCTTTAAAGATTAAATAAATGATCCATCAAAGCATTGTTAACCTCCTCCTCAAGTCCTCTCTCTTTGGAATGTTGCTGCTTGGCTAGGTGGAAACGTAAGAGATCTAGAACTGGCTCAATGGCTCCAGACTGAAGAAGACAAACGGCAGAGATCAGAAGAGGAGAAGCGAGAGAGGGAAGAATTTAAAAAGCTGCAGGTACACTGATATTTCTGAATGGTAATATTTTGAACAGTTGTGCCATTAGAAGCTGAGTATCTTGAAACTGTAATGACCTGGAATGGCCGTAACAAGTCAGACTGTTGAGGTAGTGGTACAGGAGTAGGGTGCAGGCAAATGCAGGCTCTCAGCAACCCTGCTCGTGGCACAGGTGCTGGGTATGCCTGCCTTGAGCTACTTGGCTTTACTGCTCAGAGTGGTGCTGGCTCAGGATGGAGCCGGGTGCTCCCTGTGCAGGCCACACTGCTCTCACCAGGGCCCTGGCATAGCCTCCTGCCTCATACTGTGCTCCACTCAGCTCCAGTGCTCTGCCCTGGAGCGCAGTCTGCAACATATTCCCTGGCAGAAGTGCCTGAGGCCTGAGCATCCTGGCTGTCCTCTTCCTGGGTACCACCACCTGCTCCAGTGACCACTCCCCTGCTGAAGTCCTGCTTCCCTCTCCCTCCCGTCTGACAGCCCCAATAGCTCCTTTCCTGCTCTCACTACCTTCTGGCCATTGATGGCCTCTGTGCCAATAGCTGTCTGCCCAAGAGGGAGCAGAGGGATGTGCCTGCTCTTCCAGGTGTGGCTTTCCTAGTTCTACATTCCTATTCGGGAGTGAAGCTTGGCCTTCAGCTCTAAAATATCATAAATCTGAAGTTTTTATGTCTCACTGTTCACTATTTCTCACAGTTACTGATTGTGCATGCAGCTTCTTGAAATCGTTAAATGTGAATTTTAAAAAAACCATGATTTAAATCGTGCATGTTCCGTCTCTAACAGAGGCAGTATGGCTTGGATAATTCTGGAGGCTACAAGCAGCAATTCCTGAAGAACATGGAAAGGGAAGTTGATAGGGGAAAGATGCAGCCTTTTGAATATCACAAGAGAAAAGCTGACATGATGGAGTGTTTGGCTTTTGGTATAGATGATGGGAAAACAAAGACCTCAGGTAAAAATGGTGAGACTATAAACAACTAAGACTGTAGATTTTAGATGTAATTGTAATAGTTCCTGTGCATATCACAGTTTATCATGTAGTCCAAGCTGTTGAATTTAAAATATTCATTGTGTAGTAGCAGTATAAAAATAGCTTGAGTTGTACTAGCTTCATAGTACATATATTCATCAAAGAAAAGACGATTGAAATGAAATAGGTGCAGCGTCCACTGGGTTTGAGATTTGGATTCTAGATGTAACACAGGATAACTTAAAAGTTTTGCAATAAATTGACCTAATCTGTATCTGTTCCAAGCTGAGGAAAGAATCTTTTTCTGGCAAATTTTCTAGTTCATTTTACAGATAAACTTCATGTTTGCTCTTCTTTTAGGAATCATTGAAGCATTGTGCAAGTACTATCAGAATGAAAACAAAGACGTGAGGCACGTGTGGCTTTCAGCAGGAGTAGATCACTTCCACTCGTCTCTGGGAGACAGAGGCTGGGGTTGTGGCTACAGGAATTTCCAGATGCTCCTTTCCTCACTGTTGCAAAACAGCTTGTATAATGACTGCTTGAGAGGTATTGAACAAAACACTGCCTATTTGTTTCACGTGCCTTGCATGACAACTGATGATGACAACTGACTGATGCTTTACTTTTAATTTACACAGCAAGGCTTACTAGGTCAGTGGTACCTATTAAATGCTTGTTATGCCACTGCAGCTTGCTGTGGAAAGAATCAGAGGCATGAATACTGGCAAGGCATGGCAGTTACAGCTTTAGGTTTTTTTGGTGCATCTTTGTATCATCAACTGCCTTTTATTAAGTAAGCTGAATATTTTTAACTAATAGGCTATTTCAGTAACTGTAACCATAATTCAAAACTTTTTCTGTTCCAGATACTACGTCGATTCCTAGTATACCAAAGATTCAGTCCATGATTGAAGATGCCTGGAGAGAAGGCTTTGATCCTCATGGGGCATCTCACTTCAACAACAGATTACATGGTTCCAAAGCATGGATAGGAGCATGTGAAATTTATTCACTGTTAACCAATCTCAGGATAAAGTAAATATTGCTGCTGCTGTTGTTGTTTTTAAGTGCTGTGCTGTTGAAGGTCAGAATTGCCAATGGTGCAATGACAAAGCTACCTTGGTGGCTTTAAATTTAACCAACTATAAACAGATCTGATTTAGCACAGCATAAAGCTGTGTAACTACTTTCGCAGGTACAAAGATTGAATAACTACTTAGATCATTGAGACTTGGTGAAGAATTGTGCCACATATGTGTAAAATCAAACATTGATTGAAAACTTAATTTCTCTAGAAGTTTCTTCTGAAGAAGAATCTGAATTTCAGCTATTCACTTGCATCATTCTGAAAGCTGTTGAATGGATTCTGTAGTGTACGTGCATCACGCCAAAAAAATCAAACATTTTAATGTTTGCAAGCTTCACAAGTTATTGTTAAACTGAAGAGTAGAGAGTTTCTTTGTTACAGAATAAATCTTGCCGTTTTGAACAGTATATATAGCATTGCTTTGTAATTATGTGTCCCCTACTCCTATATTTAACAAAAAAAAAAAGTGGTAATGACCACTTGGTGCCTGGAATTGCTGTGTTTACAAAACATTCCTGGTGCAGGAGGAAAGGACTGAGAGGTGGAAAAGTTATTTTAACGAACAACCTGTTAGAAAATTTATTGTTGTTCTTATTCTTAATGTTCTGTAGGTGTCAAATCATTGACTTTCACAAACCAACTGGCCCTACGGGTACACACCCTCGTTTATTTGAGTGGATTTTGCGTTATTATTCTTCAGATAGTGAAGGTGGTGGAAAGGTGGCATGTACTTCCAAACCCCCTATCTACTTGCAACATCAAGGTCAGTATCACAATAAGCTGGTTTCTTTCTACTCTCTATCTTTACATGTGCTGCAATTCAGGGCAGCATTTTGCATTCTGTCCGCATTTAATTGAAAGCATGGCTTGATTTCCTGTTATTTTTTGTTTAGTAAGAGCAATGTTAAAGTTTGTATTTTTATTGGCAGGAAGAGCTGGGTGTGACTCAGATCTCGACTTTTTGACATCTTCTCTTTACTTATAACTACCTTATTCAAGTAACATCTTCCTTGATCTGAAAATAAGTAATATGCTACAAAGAATGGGATTTATGTGTTTTTAAAATACTGAAACTCTATTTTGAAATTAGGTCATAGTCGTACCATTGTTGGGATAGAAGAGAAGAAGAACAGAACCTTATGTTTGCTGCTGTTTGATCCAGGATGTCCTTCCCAAGAAATGCAGAAATTGCTAAAACAAAACAACGATGGTACAAGTCTCAAACTACTTCGGAAATTTGTGGGTAGCTTAAAAGAAAAGCAATACCAGATAGTGGCTGTAGATGGTGTGCTCTCATTGGAAGAGAAAATTGTAAGTATTTCAGAAAATAGTTTGTCTAAGAAAATTTAAAAGAATTTGCCTCTTTTCTTTAATACTCAAAATGTATTTGCAAATATGGTTGCACGGTGTATTTTCTTTCATCTCTTCACTTGTTTTTCTTCTCTGCTATTCTCTGCTTGCTCTCTGTGAATTGAGTAATCACAAGATATCAAGACCGGAAAGGTTTTGCATATAAATGCATGCCACCTTGATGTAACTGACAACTTCTAAATTTTTATGAAGCTTGCAACTGTTTGTACATGTAAATTAGGAGAAAATATTGTAAGAAAACTGAAAGAAAAGCCTAAGTAAGTGATTGTGGGCATATGAGCTACTTACAAAGCATTCATAGTAAAAAAAAAATTATGCTCAGGGGTTTTTATTGCAACTTTGTAAAGCTTTGTGGAGTCTGTCAGCCTTTGCTGAAGAACAAGGCACACAGATACTGAGGCGTAACCATCCAATTTCTCCTCAGCTTTGACAGAAAAACTAGTGCACTCTGTTTTCTGAAAGTACTTAGAACTTAATATATTCAAAAGACAGCTCTGAGCAACTTAGATGTTTGAGCAGTTGGCATTTTTATAAATCCTATCCACATGTTTCACTTTAGGCATTGAAACTTTTTAAGACCTTACAAGTTTTCAGTTGAGTATTAGATTTAATGTTTGTTTCCTAAGCTTTCTCTTTCCTACACTGACAAATTGATCCTGAGAACCCACGTTCTGATTCTGTGGTGTCTTATCAGCACTGCTTCAGCTTTAAATTTGGAAAATGCTCTTCAAAAGTGGTATTCTTGTCCATTAAACTATTCACGTTCCTCTCTCCCCACTTTTTTTTAGGCTCGCTGCCATGCTTCTCAGGTCTTAACATCAGAGAAGATTCCATAAAGGATGCCTTTATTACCTCGTTTTGGAGTTTGCTGGATGCAAAACATGAAACTTCTGGACTGTGACCCTAACTCAACAATTTCTAGACATAAACTATGCCTCCATAAATGCTTGGGGGCTGTGGAGAAGCACAACATTGGAGTAAACCTGTAGTTCTGATCTATCAAAACTGCCCTCCTAATGAGTCTGTAACTGGAATATTACAGTTCTTGTCTTAATAGAAAATATGGTATTTTCTTAGTTGCTTAAATTACTAAGCAAAACTTACCATCCCGTAGCAAACTATGCACCATGGTTAATTGTCAATAAGCAGTGGGTAAAGATACTATAGAACTACTTTATTGGAGTGCCTGGTCGTGGTTTACCTCTGTAAATATATTTATGCTGCCTCTGTGGCCAGTGCTCTTACTGAATTTGATCAAGAGGTATCGATTATGCCTCAGCAAATTCTGCAACTATTTACACAGTACAGAGGCAGTGTGGTGATTCCATGATACAGGCTGTTCTACCAGGGACTAGTTTACTCCTGAACTTCTTTCCAATAAGCCAGCTGCTCTGGCTGCGTCCCTGTAAACACCAACGTGTGCTTAGGAGATGGGTCAGTGTTAGCATTGGCTGTGGGGTCCAAAGTGGGGTGCGTGTGCTTTAGGGGCTGCACAAGACAGTCCATTGTGAGCAGGAAGAAAACATTTCTTTTGTATCATGAATAAATAAAAGAATTATTTTTAAGAAGTCTTTATTTCATCCTTTTTTATTATGTTTTATAAAGTATATCCCCTAGGTCTTGGAGGTATCTCAAAAGGATGTTTGAACTGACTGTTGACTAGAGGCCCTTATTGTGCAGGGTTAATGCCACTTAAGAGACTGGATCTGTCCTGCTGAAACAAGGCTGTTGGGTGTTGGAGGCACTCTGCTGTGTCTGAGACACCCTGCTCTGGCTGGCTGAGGAGTTGTGCCCCCCAGCAGGGCAGCTGGTGGCAGGGAGGGATGGCCATGTGTATTACAGATGGACTAGATGCCTTTGTTTAAGCAACTGAATCGTGCCAGAGCATCCATTTGCTGTAGCTCGAGCTTAGATACTGCCCTTCCCTTTAGACTCTCTTGGTGACATCTGTCTAGGTGTAGGAGTCTTAATGTTAATCTGTTTCTCCCCTGTTTAACATGCTCTGGCAATAAGAGCTAGTAATTTTTGGAAGTAGTGAAACACCTGAACATATAAAGATATTACAGCCCACAAATCAAAAATTTTTTGAAACATGCATGAAAATAAAAATAAATTCCAATTATGCAAATGCATTATCATCAGTAGGTGTGTGGATGTGGCCTGTAACCTGTAAAAGGGTTAAACATTTTGGACAGTGTGGGGGCTGAGACTAGGGGCAGAGTTCTGGGAACCCAGGGACATCAGCTCCCACATTAGCCCTGGTCCAGGTGGTCCATGGTCCAGGTGGTCCATGTTCTGTGCCTTGTGAGGTTTTGTAGCCATGCAATAATTGAACCTCGTGGAGACACTTCAGTCTCCTGCCATGTTCCCTCAAGGCTCTGCTGATTCCAGACCAACCGTGTTCCTTACTGATGTGACACTGTGCCCAGAATTTTAAGCCTAAGAAGTGGGAATTGCAGCTCAGCCCCAGTTCTCCCTTTACATGTTCAAACTGCCACTGCCATGAAGCTGGTGTTTCAGTGAGATGAAAGACCCATAGGAAGACATCTATATCAAATGGTGCGTACATCAATTCATGCCTCTACATCGGTAAATTCTTTGGAATTTGATCCTCCCTGCTCTTTTTTAGTAGTGACTGTTACTTACAAGAACAAAAACTGGAAGGTCACAATTTCAGATGAGTAACAAACAGGTTTGGAGCTGCTTTGACCAGAGGAAACTAGAAAATGCAGTGTCCATTTGTTGTGCCTTAGTCTCAATGTCTGTTACTACTCCTTTTTCATCAAACACGCATGAGCACCTTTGTTTCCTAATTTCTTCTTTGAATTTTGTCAAAGGCAAAGATTGAAGACAACTCTTTTGGACCTTATAATAAAATGTCTAATGTATGATACGGTACATAGACGAAAGATCTTACCCTTTCTGTTGAGTCATGGAGTCACAGAGAACGAGACAGGCTACCGCACGGCTTCCATCCATCCACGCACAACCCCTCGTAGCTGAGAACAACTGCATGGAAAATAAATAATTGTATGAAATACCAGGAACAGCACTGGTTGCCATCTGGTTTTGCTAGCAGGGGCAGAGAGCTCTTAATTTGACCATTTAAAGGGCAGGTACACAAACAAGGGTGACTTTCAGGATATTTTCATTTCCCAGGACAAGAACAAGGAAAAAGCAGTCAAAATGCTTATATGGAATGTGAACAGCAATAAGCACTCAAAGAACGGTGAATGTTTCAAAAAAAACCCAAATTTTCTGACCTGCTTTCCGGTGAAGTCCATCAGAAAAGTGAAGGATACAGCTTCTTCAAATTAAAGGACCCTGTGATTAAAATGTGGACACCTTTAGCTGCCTTCCCCCATGCCACTCCTGGAGGGGTGTATCCCCCTGGCAGAGGGTCATCCCTCCAGAACCCCTGAGGCAATGGAACAATACTGTTAGTCCCAGCAGGGCCCATACCCCAGCTAAAAGCAGGAACAGCCCTTACACTGCCAGAGCCCTTCCCGTGGGCTCCCTTAGCCCAACGCCACCCCTTGCAGTGGCATAGTCAGATGCACAGACTTCTTCATCACTCACCAGTGTTCTCCATACCCTTTATAGCTTCTGTTTTGCTGCTTACTTGCAGCTGTGGTGAATCTTTTGCTGACAGGTGGGACCTCTTAAGTGTATTACCAGCTTGCTGAAATGTTGATAGGAGCCCTTTGATATGGAACTGGGACAAAGGGTGATTGCATTGTCCTGCCCAAAAGAGCTATTCTGAAAAGGCCTAATACGTGTCTGTAGATGGTCAAAGGAGTTACTGTGTAGGTCGAATGGGACACTGCAGCAGCCCCTTCACAGGAGCAGGGAGGACCCTTCATCGAGGTCCCACCTCTCCCACCCTGGAGAACAGCAGTGTGTTGTGATTTGCTCTACTTGAAGATACTACACCAGCAAAGGCTCCTGGTGCCCCTGTCTCTGCCCTCCCGAGTCATCTCGGTGCTATAAAGCAGCTCTTGTTGCACGTACCCGGCCTCCAGCGTGTGAAGGGAGATCGGCAGGCAGGGACGTAACAGCAGCTGCCACCCGGGGTGCTGAGCTTTCTACTGAAAGCAAAGATTGTTTTATTTTACCTCTTCCTCCATGAGGAGTTCATCAATGGTATTGTTTCATTTCCACGTTCTCTTACCAGCACATCAGTTTCTGCTAAGAAGAAGTCAGAGCAGTTATTGAAAAATTAATTATGTCCTCTGCTGAGTATTGAATTCAACTTATTCCTGAAGACCTAGCATATTTTTCAGTCTTTTGTGAGGGCTCAACCTTTGGATCATCCCTGAGAGGAACATTGTGTCATAGCAGTATCCTCTAGATACAAACCTGCATCTGTCTTGACTGTCTCAAGGGCTGCACCAAGCTCTGACCCTACAGTCACACCAGCTGGTCCATGGCAGTCCACTGGATTTTTCAGGCTTCTTCAAATCAAAAAGTATTTTCAAATGCTTTGAAGCAGAAGATAAGGCATATATTCATGACCTGTTCCATGTACTATGTACAGATATATCTCTGCGTACAGAGGAATTGGGGAGAAAACTTAGTTCTTTGTCACTTTTGCCCTCTTGTAAAGGCTGGCAATATAACGCTTGTCAGATGATAGGTGGGGCCGTGGCTGATCTGCAATTTAGCACAATATCAGGCTTTCCAGATGCACAGATGAATTCCAAGAGTTTATAACTTTTTAACCTTTAAACGTGTACTTTGACTTAGATAGATAGTCAGAAACCAAAGGTAGCTGTTAAGATACATGCTAATGATGTATTACTGCACCTAAATATGATGTCATCATAAAATAGCCTTCAGAGGCCTTTATTTTCTTTCAAGAGACTATGTGGGCTTAGAATATTTTGATCTTAAAATTTTATGACCAGCAGAAGGCATGGAAATAAGTGCTAGGAGTCTGTGGCAGGGGTTTATTTTAAATAACATGGACCATCACCTCATTTGTTGGCTATGCGCTTCCTTTACCATTTAGCTCCAGGAAAGGAAAGAGCAGAGAGGTAGGAGAGAAAGTTAGTTCTTGACTCGGTCAGAGATAATTCATTATCAGCCTTCGTCCTTAACACATTCCCAGCAGAGATTCCCAGCCTCCTCCATGTGAATGGTGGATTTAGGAACTTTTGAAGCCTTTCTTCTTCCCTGTGCCTTTTCCATCCTTCCAGCCCCGCCAGAAGAAAAAAGACCAAAATTAATTGGACAAATAAAAGTTTGAGCTCAGGGAACTGTTCCTTTGGATGTGGTCTGATAAAGAAACTGTTTTTGCCAGATGATTTATTTGTGTATCTGTATGCTATAAATCACAAAGCTAACATCTGCTGCTTATATAGCTATGTAAATGTACAGTGCTACCTACATGCTGGATGCATCATGCCCACAGTTTTGCACCAACAAGAAGGGAAGGCTGTGGGTTGCAAGATGTGGTGAGGAATGATCTCACATCCTACTTTTTATTGTTGAAATGTTGGAATGCAAGGAGGAGTCCACGTATAAATAACACAGAAGATTTTTCTGCAAATGTCACTGCCTGGTTGTTAATTTGATAGTGTTGCTCACCTTTGTTTTTTTCCCAAACCTTTGAAAAACCCAGGATTTATGCAAATGAGATCAATAGCTCTTACTTGAGTTTCATATATTTCAGTCTCTTGTACATTATGTTGTGTGAACAAATTAAAAATAGATACAATATGTTAAGTGCAGTGATATTCATTGTCTTCCTGTTGTTAATCTCATTGTGTGTAAGGAAGAGGATATTTGAAATCATATCCATGATATGATCCATATATGAATCAGGCAGTATTGGTCGGGGAGTATATTTGTTAAAAGATGTGAATTGTCTGTAACAAAGGAATTAATAAATAAGATATAATCCATATAAATAAATGCACAATAGCGACACAATAAACAACCAAGCAAATAAGTAAGGATTTTTGGCATCTTTCCAATGTCTTCCCTTGCTGTCCTCAGAAGCAGGCTATGGAGTGAATTCCACTCTCTGCAGTTTGCAATTTCCTTTTGGGTGCACTTCTCAGATGGTAATTTTCCTGCAGGGATATAATTTCATACCATGCTTTTGCTACAGCTTTTTTCCCATTTACCTCTCGCCTCAAACTTACAGAGCAATGTAGGCAATGAGCTGCCTCTTTACCTGGACTGATGGCTACAGGATAACATGGGACAAACAATACTCTAAGTGGGATCACAGTGTACAAGACTTAGCAGTGAAAAACATGCAGAGTCTTGTCCTCCTTCTTGGCTGGTCAGCACTTCACAGTGGGGTAATACTTTGCGCTCCCCTATGGACAGTTGGTGGCCACAACCTTACAGATCTGGGGTTTGTGTGTTACGTCACCTATGAAATAGTTTGGGGCATCTTGGCTTGAATTTCACAGGAAAAAGCCTGCGTCCTTTGCAGTGGCTTAACCAACTGGAATGTCTGTAGAATTTTAAGTTCAAAGTGCCACTGAGAGGTAAAATGTCAAGGTACCTTGATTAACCTGGTCTCAAAGGGAGTATAACGGAATATTTAATGATATGAACCTCCAGCCCCCATCTACTGCTTCCTTTGTGGGATCAGAGGGGTGCTGTGTTTAAAATCTACAGCTCTGCAGACAACAATGTGAACAACAGATGAATTAGAGACAGCCAAAGGTATGAAAAGTGCTCCCAAGGCAAACTATGAGGTTCTTCCAAGCAGACTGAAGGAGAAAGGTTGTTATTAAAATGGAAAACAGGAGTGTCAAGCTGATACATCAGAAGTTGAATCAGGCTAAAAGGAGAAAAGCAAAGCTGTGAAAGGCAAGCGCTTGCCACCTAAACTATGAGAAAGTGTAACCGCGGGGTTAAGCACACAACATTACAACAGCAGAAGCCAGCAACTCTTCAAAAAGTTCTTGAGAAGGTTAAGGCTTGTAGATAAGATACAGGGCAACACCCATGACAGATGTGATAAGATAGTTGCTAAGTTTTGCTATGCATACAGAAAAACCGTGTAGGCAGTGCAATGCTTTTGAGCTACTGGTCATGCAAAGCACTTTTAAGGAACTGAGGTCTTTACTCCAACTGAGAGAAAAGGCAGCTATGTTCTTCCAGCCCTGGCTAACCTTAACATGAGCACTTACAGGTGTTTAACCCAATCAGCTCATTCCAGGCTCATGGCTGAAAGCAGGTCGGACTGGTCTGACCAACCACTCCAGGGGAGTAGTAAATTCCGGCTCTTTGGGACTACTGTCACACACAGCTCAGAGATACAAACCAATTTGGGCAAAAGTTCTATGAAAACTGAGATAAAAATAACCAAACTACCAAATTTACACTTCTGCTCCTCTCCAACCTTCCTCAATAATCCTCTTAATAAAAAAAAAAGCAAAACCCAAGAAGGAACACAAATCAAAAAGAGCATGTAAATAATTCCAAAAATCTTACCGGTCCGCTTTCACGATTTCCCAATTATACTAGTTTTGTAATCTCTGTCCACGTTAAAGATAACAAATATTGGAAGTAAGCCAACCCGCACAATGTCCATGGGTTACCTCCCAGTTTAAAAGGAAGCGTGACGCACAGGTGTCTCTAGAATTCACGGAGCTGGGAAGTAGTAGCACACATCTTGTGGGCACTGAACGGAGAGCAGAGGAGGTAAGTGTGCCAGAAATTCTTGGAACGGCAGATCTGTGGGGTAATTGATGCTGTATTACCCTCTCAGTAAAAGAACAATAATTGTACATAGACCCCTCTCAGACCATTTGGCATGCACTGCCAGAAAGTGCTGCAGAGAACGAGGGGGTAGAGCTGGTCTGTGCTTGGGAGGAGGACGGTCATCCAGAGCAGGGTTATCCCAGTGCCGGTGGGGAAACCGGAGCCTGACGTGGGGTTTTCTGTGTCACTCAGCAAAGAAATGGGAGTCGTAGCTGTGAGAGAGTTAATTAAGCAGGGGGAAAGTGTGCGGATGCTGTGGATGTAGGAGACAAACTGGCAGGCAGCTCTGTGTCTGCGTTTGGGGAGAGATTGTTGAAATGCGTGTTTGAGATGCGTAGCTGGCTGCTACGAGCATTCCCAAATGTTTATTTTTGTATTGCTACATCTGTAAGAAACAAGCAGTGCAATCACCTTTCTCCCAAAGTGATATAAAAACTTACGGTTTTGGCAGAACGAGATCAAGAAGGTTTCTGATCATTGAATATGTCTCCTTTTTGTTTCCCAGCAGCTTCTTGCTCCTTTTCCTGTATCAGTAACATTTTTCACTCCTTCTCCATGCCTTTGCATTTTTAGTACTTCCACAGCTTTGGGATAACATCTTGAATTTAGAAGTGAACCATTCCCTTGCTTTTTAAACGTGGGGTTTTTTCTCCATTTAGAGCTCTGATTCAGTTAGAGTCATTGAGATTGTGAAACGCAGGCTTCTCTGTGAGGTCGAAGCTCCTCACAGGCTTTGATATAGGCAGCGGCTGCCCCCGCTCCCCTCGTCCCCTCACGGTCCATTGCTGCCCTCCCTGGCCCGGCCATGGCCCTCGCTGTCACGAGGGGCCTGGCGGGGAGCAGGTGGCCCTTCATGGGCAGTTCACAGAGCGGGAAGGCAAAGGGGAAGCAGAGGGTGAACTGGAGAGAAGCTACTGGTCACAGGTGGGATCAGGAGCCTCATTTCCAAGGACTGCCTGTTGTGGTGAATTCCTATCACTGACTGGCACGTCTTGTGCAATCGGCTGATTTGACAAATCTGAGCAGGGACCATATCCAGACAGTGCAGCAATGGCAAACGCAGCCATCCAAGAAAGCACGGGAATGGTTGCATTGCAAGGGGAAGGCAGGAGACAGAAACCCAGACAAATTTTCAGGTAGGAAAGGCTCCCTTCCCAAACATGTCTTTTAACTCACGTGAGACAATGCTGGTGATATCCCGGTCTGGAAGAGAACTTGCTTATGCCATTTCTGCCATGGCTTGGACATTGTCTGATGGTTTTAATAAGTAGTTCATCTGCACAGCAGGGAGGGAGTGACCTGGATGTTAAGCTCACTGAAATCCACAGATGTATCCTTCAGCTCAAAGACTGCAGAAGAGACACAGGCCAAAACCCATCAGACCCAGATGTTCCATTGGGCTCTGGCTCAACCACAAGAGGCAGTTTCAGTCTCTCTCTTACTCCTCCTGTATCTCCCCAAGGGCTTGCTCTTCCCTAGCCACAGCAACGGTGAGGATTAGTGTCTTTTCCTGGCAAATAGAAGGCAATGGTGTTAATGAAACACAAGACAATAATCTCATAAAACCAGGAGGCGTGTTTAAGACAGTAACACACAGTCACATTTGTTCAACCTGGATTGCAAAAATGATGATGAGTTTGGGAAAAACGTTAGTAATGAGACAGAGAATAAGTAGGAGGAGGCAGAAATTGTCATAAGACATTCTGAACACAGTTTCAGTCACAACAGGCAGAACGAGAGCTTGGTGGTTAAGCGAGCTCTGGTCAAGAGCTACTGACATGCCAAAGAAAGCTCTACAGTCACTCAGATCCTTGAGGAATCTACACAAGAGATTTTTACACGGACTGCCTTCAGTTTCATGACTTTTTACATGCAAGTAGCATACACTTGTATTGGAGTAACGGCTAGAGCTACACACCTTTCTTTACTTTTTTTTTTTTTTCTTAGAAATGTATTCTGAGTGATGTTGTTGTGAAAATCTGAAAACAAAATTTCAATGTATTGTTTCCAGAATGTTTCTGGAATGCATTTGGCTAAAATTTGTCAGCACTGGATTCTTTGTTTGAACTACTCATTTGGGTTTTTTTTTTTGTTTCTGTGAGATGAAAACCAAAGATGAAGATATAACTTCCTATTTTCTTGTTGCAGGTTATTTGCCTATAAGGACATCTGACTAACAATGGAACCATCAAAAGAATATCTCTTCGAATACAAAGGGTATTATTTTAGTGTACATACTTCACCAGAGTACGTAGCTTCGCTGGAGGACTTTGAAATCAGAGATAGTGACATATTTCTAGCTACTTACCCAAAATCAGGTAAGAATGGAATTGTTTCTTGAGGGGGGAAAAATCTGCCTTTATTCAGCCACCTAAGAGCACAGGTACCTAACGTTGTTAGCTTTGCTTTTAGACCAGGATCATCTCTGATTATTTGCAATGTGACATTAAGCACAAGCCCTGAATTGCCATGGCCTGAATGGCCAGACACACAGTTACTGCTTGAGTCCAGCCAAATTGTTCTAACTCTTTCTTAGACTCAGTCTTGTAGTTGTACTCGGACTAAGCTACACACAAATCAAACTGACCTCCCGAGCCTCACAAAACACATAGCTGTGATAGGGCTGGGTGCATGAGTGTTGGAGATGATTGTGGGATATGGGGCATGATTTTTGGGCTCACGTGGAAGGTGGGTTGGGAGTTGCTGCATCCAAATTACAGCCAAGCAGGAGATAAGAGCAAATGTTAGTCAACGATATATGCCTCCTTTCAAGGATGATGAGGTACTATGTACCTACACAGCAATATGGGACACTAGTGTGATGAATTCCGCATTCCTATTCCTGAAGAAAATGCAACTGTGCAACCACCTGCTTCGGTGTCATCTGACATGAAATGTGTAGCCTTGATATGCCTAGACCTGTATGTTTCCATACAGATGCACTTTGTGCTCTAAAACTGGTCTACCCGTTTTCAAGACTGCATTTCTTTAGTGATTAGTAATTAATGACTAGATTAAGCAGTGATTTATGATTAAAACCTCGACATCTCTGGTACCAATCTGTGCTTCTACTTTCAAAGCCACTGCTATCCTCCTCTTTTTGTGCTCTTGGGAACCTCCGGTGTTATCCTTTGGTAGACTTCAGCAGCCTTCAAGACATAGCCTTCAGACGACAATAACCAGTGTTTTGTTAGCATACCCCATTTTCCTAGGGTCACTGAACATCTTGCTGGAATTGACGATTACCTCAGGTAGCCAGTGAAATAGCTGAGGAAGAAAGATATTCTTGAGTGAAGCCCAGAAACAGTGGCAGGGAGCACCAGGTGTGGTTGTGGTGAAGGCAAATGTGAGATGAGAAACCTGTGGAGGGGTCGTGGGTGACAGAGTGAGGGGACAAGGATTCAAGGCAATGCTAACTCATCATCAGGCAGCACCGGGGTGAGCTGCCCAAGCAGGGCAGAGAGTGAGGATGAGAAGGCAGGATTTAAGGGGTAAAGATAACATGGCAGAGAGATGAGCACATCTTCAGAAGTAGGAATTTCATGCTGCAAATTGATGGGCTACCCTAGGACAGAACAGAGCTGGAAGATGATTTTGAGTTACAAATTGCACAGAATGTCATCTCGCCCTCATTCAAACCTTTTCCTCTGTCCTGCACACCATCGTGTTTCTTCCTCAGCACTCGCCCAGTCCTTCTCTTGAAGGACATCACAGGACATCCAGGTTGATTATGCCAAGCAGAGCAAGACAGTCAGCAGAGCTGTGACAGCACTGGGTGTTGTGCCTCTGAACACTAGGGCTCGCGCTTTTGCTTGCCCAGTGACTTGAAATCACACCATGCATGCAGTCTAATCTCCAGAACCTAGAGCTTCCTTGCCAGGTGAGGTCTTCACAACCTGGCTTCAGTCTCTGGTGCCTTCCTTTCTCTGGACTTCTTCAGGGCAACCTACAGCAATAATTCAATGCTCTTCTGCATTGATTTTATTCTCTCAAGTGTGGCCCACAGAGATGCAGCAATTCTTTATGATTCTATGATTCTATAAATTCTTGTGGCCACAAGAGAGCAAGGACAGGCATAATTTCTGTGGAAGCTGAGTAGCCTGCATGAAGGAACCAAAGGTTTTGTTAATGACCATGGCTTTTCTGCAGGGACAAAACAAAAATAGGCTTCCCTTCTAGACTCAGCAGTCACCAAGACAAGGTTTGCTCCTCTGTTTATGACAATATAGTATATTTGATTTTAAATGTATCAAGCAAAGTCCAAATATAAAGGTTTCCTTCTCAGGAACTGTGTGGACTCAGAACATTTTGAGCTTAATAATTCATGAAGGCCACCGTAATGGAACAGAAAATATGAACACTGTGGAAAGAATCCCATTCCTGGAATATAACCCAGAAAAAAAGGATTACACAATTCTTCCTTTGCCTCGTGTTTTGGCTACCCATCTGCCTTACTACTTAGTTCCAAGAGACCTAAGAAACAAAAGAGCACGTGTAAGTGAAGTTATTTTTATGATTTCTGTATAAACCAGTCATGTCAATATGCCACTATGGAAGTGGTCCAAAGCCTACCATTTTGCTCTTTCAGTTCCCCATGTTTTGGTAGAAATATTACGTGCTTCATACACGTGGGGAGATCAGGGACCTTCTAAAGCCCATGTCTTCTGGTTCCTTCTGCCAAATCTCTCAGCCCCAACCCTGCTAGAGAGAGGGTGGTGCATCTCAGCAGCATCTGCCAGGGTCACACCTGTGCTGATTTTCCCCTGGCTGCTCTTTCATGGTCTGTGCCTGAGGCAGCAGCTCTCATGTCGTCAGGAGTCAGTAGGAGACAAAATAATCCTGGCCCATAACAGCTCCTTCTTTTAAGGTGCCAGGACTCCCTCTTACACAGTCTGCTTGCCTCCTGCCTCTGGCACCAGCACCGCAGGCCAGGACTTTAGGTGACAGAGCACGGATGCTGTCAGCACCACCAAAGCCGGGACTGCAAGAAACTCTTCTCCATGTCATCCTGACTGTACACAGACAAGTGAAGCTGAATCAACCCAATGATTTTCTGGTGATGCTGGTGCAGCCTGACTGCCTTGCACAGGTGACCAGCATCACTGAGGTCTCTAACACTGACCCCGTGCAGAGAGTCAGGCGCAGACACTGCACGACTGCAGCTACAGAAATACCACCCCCTGTAAACAAATGGACAGCACTACGTTAGCCACAATTTACCTATCGGCATGGTCACCTTCAAAGGGGCTGCACACCTTGTAGTGGGACCTGTATGGAAACTGCACGGATGGTCCGGGTAACGGAGTCCTCTCATATCTCTGAGACAAACCCCCTTATTGTTTTGCAGGTTATTTATGTTTCCAGGAACCCTAAGGACGTCATGGTTTCCTACTACCACTTCTCCAAATACATGTCCTTCTCTTGAAGGACATCACAGGACATCCAGGTTGATTATGCCAAGCAGAGCAAGACAGTCAGCAGAGCTGTGACAGCACTGGGTGTTGTGCCTCTGAACACTAGGGCTCGCGCTTTTGCTTGCCCAGTGACTTGAAATCACACCATGCATGCAGTCTAATCTCCAGAACCTAGAGCTTCCTTGCCAGGTGAGGTCTTCACAACCTGGCTTCAGTCTCTGGTGCCTTCCTTTCTCTGGACTTCTTCAGGGCAACCTACAGCAATAATTCAATGCTCTTCTGCATTGATTTTATTCTCTCAAGTGTGGCCCACAGAGATGCAGCAATTCTTTATGATTCTATGATTCTATAAATTCTTGTGGCCACAAGAGAGCAAGGACAGGCATAATTTCTGTGGAAGCTGAGTAGCCTGCATGAAGGAACCAAAGGTTTTGTTAATGACCATGGCTTTTCTGCAGGGACAAAACAAAAATAGGCTTCCCTTCTAGACTCAGCAGTCACCAAGACAAGGTTTGCTCCTCTGTTTATGACAATATAGTATATTTGATTTTAAATGTATCAAGCAAAGTCCAAATATAAAGGTTTCCTTCTCAGGAACTGTGTGGACTCAGAACATTTTGAGCTTAATAATTCATGAAGGCCACCGTAATGGAACAGAAAATATGAACACTGTGGAAAGAATCCCATTCCTGGAATATAACCCAGAAAAAAAGGATTACACAATTCTTCCTTTGCCTCGTGTTTTGGCTACCCATCTGCCTTACTACTTAGTTCCAAGAGACCTAAGAAACAAAAGAGCACGTGTAAGTGAAGTTATTTTTATGATTTCTGTATAAACCAGTCATGTCAATATGCCACTATGGAAGTGGTCCAAAGCCTACCATTTTGCTCTTTCAGTTCCCCATGTTTTGGTAGAAATATTACGTGCTTCATACACGTGGGGAGATCAGGGACCTTCTAAAGCCCATGTCTTCTGGTTCCTTCTGCCAAATCTCTCAGCCCCAACCCTGCTAGAGAGAGGGTGGTGCATCTCAGCAGCATCTGCCAGGGTCACACCTGTGCTGATTTTCCCCTGGCTGCTCTTTCATGGTCTGTGCCTGAGGCAGCAGCTCTCATGTCGTCAGGAATCAGTAGGAGACAAAAATAATCCTGGCCCATAACAGCTCCTTCTTTTAAGGTGCCAGGACTCCCTCTTACACAGTCTGCTTGCCTCCTGCCTCTGGCACCAGCACCGCAGGCCAGGACTTTAGGTGACAGAGCACGGATGCTGTCAGCACCACCAAAGCCGGGACTGCAAGAAACTCTTCTCCATGTCATCCTGACTGTACACAGACAAGTGAAGCTGAATCAACCCAATGATTTTCTGGTGATGCTGGTGCAGCCTGACTGCCTTGCACAGGTGACCAGCATCACTGAGGTCTCTAACACTGACCCCGTGCAGAGAGTCAGGCGCAGACACTGCACGACTGCAGCTACAGAAATACCACCCCCTGTAAACAAATGGACAGCACTACGTTAGCCACAATTTACCTATCGGCATGGTCACCTTCAAAGGGGCTGCACACCTTGTAGTGGGACCTGTATGGAAACTGCACGGATGGTCCGGGTAACGGAGTCCTCTCATATCTCTGAGACAAACCCCCTTATTGTTTTGCAGGTTATTTATGTTTCCAGGAACCCTAAGGACGTCATGGTTTCCTACTACCACTTCTCCAAATACATGAATACATTAGAGGAAGTACCAGATTTTAACCTCTTCATGGAGAGATTTCTAGCTGGCAAAGGTAAGATACGTTTTTTACTGAGGAGCCCAAATCCTATTGCATGCCATCAGATTGAATGCAGATTGAATACATCAATAAGTGTCAATTATCAGAATCCATGGAACAGAAAATATGAACACTGTGGAAAGAATCCCATTCCTGGAATATAACCCAGAAAAAAAGGATTACACAATTCTTCCTTTGCCTCGTGTTTTGGCTACCCATCTGCCTTACTACTTAGTTCCAAGAGACCTAAGAAACAAAAGAGCACGTGTAAGTGAAGTTATTTTTATGATTTCTGTATAAACCAGTCATGTCAATATGCCACTATGGAAGTGGTCCAAAGCCTACCATTTTGCTCTTTCAGTTCCCCATGTTTTGGTAGAAATATTACGTGCTTCATACACGTGGGGAGATCAGGGACCTTCTAAAGCCCATGTCTTCTGGTTCCTTCTGCCAAATCTCTCAGCCCCAACCCTGCTAGAGAGAGGGTGGTGCATCTCAGCAGCATCTGCCAGGGTCACACCTGTGCTGATTTTCCCCTGGCTGCTCTTTCATGGTCTGTGCCTGAGGCAGCAGCTCTCATGTCGTCAGGAGTCAGTAGGAGACAAAATAATCCTGGCCCATAACAGCTCCTTCTTTTAAGGTGCCAGGACTCCCTCTTACACAGTCTGCTTGCCTCCTGCCTCTGGCACCAGCACCGCAGGCCAGGACTTTAGGTGACAGAGCACGGATGCTGTCAGCACCACCAAAGCCGGGACTGCAAGAAACTCTTCTCCATGTCATCCTGACTGTACACAGACAAGTGAAGCTGAATCAACCCAATGATTTTCTGGTGATGCTGGTGCAGCCTGACTGCCTTGCACAGGTGACCAGCATCACTGAGGTCTCTAACACTGACCCCGTGCAGAGAGTCAGGCGCAGACACTGCACGACTGCAGCTACAGAAATACCACCCCCTGTAAACAAATGGACAGCACTACGTTAGCCACAATTTACCTATCGGCATGGTCACCTTCAAAGGGGCTGCACACCTTGTAGTGGGACCTGTATGGAAACTGCACGGATGGTCCGGGTAACGGAGTCCTCTCATATCTCTGAGACAAACCCCCTTATTGTTTTGCAGGTTATTTATGTTTCCAGGAACCCTAAGGACGTCATGGTTTCCTACTACCACTTCTCCAAATACATGAATACATTAGAGGAAGTACCAGATTTTAACCTCTTCATGGAGAGATTTCTAGCTGGCAAAGGTAAGATACGTTTTTTACTGAGGAGCCCAAATCCTATTGCATGCCATCAGATTGAATGCAGATTGAATACATCAATAAGTGTCAATTATCAGAATCCACATCTATGCTGTGATCTGAATCCAAAGCTGCAGAAGGCTGTCCGAGCTTGACACTATCTTCTGATAAAAGCTGGACTCAATAAAATGCAAGCTGCTATTTTTTTTTTTTTTCCACATTGGATGCTGATTGAGAACATAACCATTATGACTGAAGATCTCTTAACACTTTCTGCTCTTTGTTAGTGGAGATGAACACATAAGAATAGACACTGTGCAGCAAAGACAAAGAAGTAGTGTTTTTGCTTCTGCCAGTATGGGTTCAGATCACTAGAAAAAAAACAAACGAATGGGAATTATCACTTTATCTTGGTGATTAACACAAAGACTTTGAGCATGCAGCCCTCTAATTATCTAAAAATATTATTTAAGAAAACTCTTTCAAAGACATAAATGGCTGTTCCTTTTATTGTTTTACTACTGGCTGTTAATAGTATTTCTCTCTTTTTTCCCTTGTTAAGTACTTGGTAGTTCGTGGCTGGATCACGTTTCAGGCTGGTACAGTCATGCAGAGGATTTCAATATACTCTTCCTTACCTATGAAGAAATGAAAAAGGTGAGGTCAATCAGTACCACTGCATTCAAGATATTCTCTTCCTATATTGAGGGCACTGTCAGACAGCTCTTTATAATTACACTTTATAAGGGAAAGTGGTGGAATCTGTTAAGGAGTAAATTCAAATTGAGACTTCTGAGAGGAGAAAGTCATTGCTCTCCTTGGTTCAAGGTCTTATCAATTTCTAGAGAATCATTAGGGAAACACTTTCCAATATGATACAAGTTATCTTCACTGCCACCTCAAAAACCCCTTTCAGAAACAGTACAGAACAAGGCTTTTGTGGGTTCCTTCAATAGGAATGTTGTGCTCATAAGGACAGACCCACTAAAGGACTCCTCATTTCTATGAGGTGCCTGTCCTTCTCCTATGGACAAGCCCCAGAGCAGCCCAGCCACAGCAGCACAGCCCACGTCAACTGCCACTGCACTGCTCCATGGGGCTTTAGAACTCAGGTCACGTTTCCTGCTAGGACAACTCACAAGAAGCCATGAGCTGAGGACCTTCACAGTGACAGGCACGATGCCAGGGGTGCTTTTGCCAGGGCACCAAACGCAAGATGCAGGCTGGGTTTGCAGAGCGGGGAGCAGAACCCAGAATTCCCCATCTCCAAGGGCATGGTGCTGCATTGAGCTACAGCATCCCTGCTCTCCAGGATTCAACTGATGCAAGTGACACAAGGCTCACATAAAAGATGGTGATGATTGCAGCCAAGTGTATGTCCTTCATTATGGTGGATGCCACTACTGCATGCATTTTGCTCTTTGATTCATCAAGACTCTTCAATGTACCATTCCTGCAGGATCTGAGAAGTGCTGTGCTGAAGATCTGCAACTTCATAGGCAAGAAGCTGAGTGAAGAGGAAGTGGACAGTGTTGTGAGACAGGCCACATTTGAGAACATGAAGAAAGACCCCAGGGCCAACTATGAGAACCTGCCAGATGATATCATATCGAAAGACAAGGGTAGTTTTCTACGAAAAGGTAAAGTGGAAGCAGTCCAATGCAACAACTACTTGGTCCTATATTTCTTGGTATGAGATGAACCTAGGGCTTCCGGTCTCAGCTGGAGCACACTAGAGGTTGCTGGCAAAAAAAAAACTTTATAAGAACAGTTTTATTGCTGTGGCATCAATGATTTCACCATATTGTCTTGAGGATAATAAAAGGGTAATGTTTTACTGATTGTAATGTGGCTTGTAACTGGCCTGTCAGATACGGGAATGATTTAAGGGTTGTTCTGAACCAGGGATAAAATCATCACTTTTTACCTGTGTGTTAACTTTTGAAGCTAGAGTCACCTTAATTGGGGGAGGATACACCTTCTTGACCAACTACCGCATGAATCCACCCCCGGGCTCCTGGGTATGGCTAAGACGAGCAGGAGGAAACCTGAGGTGGGGCACTGAAAGGAGAAAGGAGAGGTGTTGCTTTTCATCATTTCCTCTTTGAACTCAAAGGAATCAGTCAAACACCAGAAGAAATGAGTTGAATAACTTCATGAGGAGTCAGGATTATGGGTCGATGCTGTGCTTTATTCACAGCACCAAGATTTGGAAGCTCATCCTCAAAAGAGCACACAGAGCCTCACTCACAGCCCAGAGACAGGGAGGTGCTGAGGAAGCCAGGAATCCCACCCAAGAGCAGCGCTCACTGGTTGCGGCAGGCTCCAGAGGGGTGCACGGTCTGCTTCTCACCTCCCTTTGCTGCTTTTTTCCTCAGGCACTGTTGGAGACTGGAAAAACATCATGACAGTGGCACAGAACGAAAGGTTTGACCAAGTTCTGAAAGAGAAAATGAAGAGCCTCCCCATCAAATACATCTGGGATATTAACGATGAAATGTAGGCTGGTTTTGACCTTCAGTGTCCCTTGGTCTTTATACTGGGGGGACATATTTGCATTTCTGGAAGAAGAAAAGACTGCTCTGTTATAGAAATCATAACAATGACAACTCAGTCACAAAATGTGATTTGTCTGAGGAAGCTACTCAGTTCCACTGGTGTCCTGATTGTAATTTTACAAGGCAGTTTAATGAGCTTCCTTGGTGAACTGGCCTCCTTTCTTCACGTTTGCTTTTACGTTCATCAGAGTTTAATATTACCAGAGTTGTAGACAACCGAGTGAAGATAGATCAGTGTTGTTACAGAGCTTCTGAAAAATCTTTCACTTGTGCCTTTCATGAGGCTTCTTTTGGTAGAATCTTCAATGTCCAAACTGGAAGTAAGATTGACCATCTGTATGGTTATACTTTGATATTCTTGATTTCCCGTTTCCTTTGTAAACACCGATACTCAAACATTTGCCATTAAAGTAACCTTTATGTTGCACTCTGTGGTGTTGCCTATTGACTGAAACACTTGATAGCATTGTCCGTTACAGTTCTTGAAGTCATGGCCGACAATTTGCTACTGGAAATATTGAGAAAAAACACAAGCTACAGTCACAGCAGTTTTTAAGTGAATGCCCACGCTATCATACCTGATGATCTGGTAGAGCTACCAATGTACAAAACTCCCAGCTATCTATGACTACGACCTTCCTCATGTATTCCTTGCAGACAGTAATGCCGTCTGTGCTGCTTACAAAGGGAGTTCCAACTCCCACGTCATCTTTTCCAACTCTGTCCATTGAAACTACTCACAAACTGGAGCTGCAGTTCCTCCCCTCCCCAGGTGCACACTGTTATGTTGCTGATGCATCTCCAGCATTTTTCTCCCCTCCAACAATCTTCTCTCCCTCTCAGCACAGCCTTGGGCAGGAGGGCAGAGGGAAAGGACATGAGCTGAGCAGCAAACGGTTTGTTCCGACTTTTTTCCAGACACAAACCGTGCGTCCCATGTGGGGAAGGCAAGTTTTGGACCCTCAACCCTCCTTCCTGCTGTGATGTCTATGTGATCAAACTACGGTGACTGCTTTTGGTTGCTATTGAACCAATGTCCTACCAAGCAGCCACAGCTGGACAGAACTTCTGATTTCAAAAACATTTCAAATAATCATTTTGATTTGACTGAGAGCATCTAGCCTTGGCTTTCTCATAAAATGTTTCTAAACTCTAAAATCCTTCCAGTTCACATAAGGGGTGTTTTTGTTTGTTTGATTCCTTCCCTTGCTGGCCCAAGGGACCTGCTTTTTCTTCTCATTTTCAATCCACCCATTTTAGCCTTCTGCTTTTTCCTGGACAGAATCACTTCCTGCACAGCATGCTGTTAGCTGCTATAAGGCAGAGGGGACCTCATAAAATTAGCTTACAAGAAGAATGATTCCACGTCCACCCATGGCACAGCCAGGCCATCCTTCCTTCAGGAACTTTGTATCCCCAGTACCAAGAAAAGAAGCTAAGAAGAAAAAAAAAACAACACAAACCACAAAAAAACCCAACCACCTTTACATGACTTATGTAACCACTGCATCATCTCCCGACCTCTGAGCATGAACTTCCCATGAGGGGCCAGTGACCTTTTCCACTTGTACATATTGACCAGAGAAAAGGTAACACTAGTTCAAAGTCAGAAGCCTAACGCAGCCCTTTGGCTGAGTTTGCCCCAAGTGCAAACAGAACAGGTCCTCATTACAAGTTGGACCTTGGCCTTTACTCTTTTTTTAATGACATAAAGTCCCAGCAGAATAATAAAAGCCACATAAACCTCACACAACGCTGTGCGCCGCAGGCCAGTGGTATCAGCTCACTCTTATCAGTTGCAGATTTAATGAACACGCAGTGCAAAGGGAATCCAGTTCATGGCAATAAATGCAATTATGTCGAAGAACTGAACCTGAAAAGCCTCTCTCCTCTCCCTCCTCCTGCTCCTACCCAAGTTGAAAAGCACTGAAGGGCTGAGAAAAAAAAAACCAACAGAAAAACAATAGTAGTATTTCATCATGACAGCTCCTTCTCTCAGGATCTAGTGTATCAGCATCTTGGGGCCAAGCACAGTCTACTCTCTGCTCCAACAAGCCCTGAATTTATTTCAGCAACCACACAGTTTAAAACCTGCAGGTAGGTTGATGCTTATGAGTCTCCTCGGAGAAAGAATGATGTTGACTCTTCCCACAGCAATTGTACTTCAAGCTTCCCATTTCTGACCAAAATACACTGACCACTGACCCATTAGAAAGAGAAACACAGAGAGAAAGAAAATATTTAAGAAAAGAAAAAGCCACCCCTAGATTCTGTTTGCTGTAAAGCAGATCATATTGGATGTGTGATGTGGATGCAAAATCCTAGGCTTTGCAGCATGCCCGAGATTGTACTCCTACCACATCTTGACATGGTGGGCACTATCTTCTCAATTTGAATAGAGCTCAGGCACCAAGTATTCAAAAGGTTCAGCACAACCAAAACTAAATTAGCTCTCGTCGTAGTGCAGTGTTGCAACTCATTGGATCTCCCTACGTGTTTCACAGTGTATGCTTTGGACCTAGACAGTTACTAACAAGATACCTGGAAGGTTTTCAGCACCATGACTTTAAATTACTAGAATTCCAGCAAAGCTTATCTTTTCATTTCCAAAGACAAGAAGAAGGAATGAGCAGTCGCAATGTTTGTATCAATGGTGAATAGCAGCGAGCACTCAAACAAAAATGAATGTTTCAAGAAATAATCACTTTTCTGACCTGCTTTCCAGTGAAGTCCATCAGAAAAGCGAAGGATACGGCTTCCTCAAATTAAAGGACCCTGTGATTAAAATGTGGACACCTTTAGCTGCCTTCCCCCATGCCACTCCTGGAGGGGTGTATCCCCCTGGCAGAGGGTCATCCCTCCAGAACCCCTGAGGCAATGGAACAATACTGTTAGTCCCAGCAGGGCCCATACCCCAGCTAAAAGCAGGAACAGCCCTTACACTGCCAGAGCCCTTCCCGTGGGCTCCCTTAGCCCAACGCCAACCCATGCAATGGCATAGTCAGATGCACAGACTTCTTCATCACTCACCAGTGTTCTGCATACCCTTTATACCTTCTGTTTTGCTGCTTACTTGCAGCTGTGGTGAATCTTTTGCTGACAGGTGGGACCTCTAAGTGTATTATCAGCTTGCTGAAATGTTGATAGGAGCCCTTTGATATGGAACTGGGACAAAGGGACCTGAAACGAGGGTGATTTCTTTGTCCTGCCCAAAAGAGCTATTCTGAAAAGGCCTAATACGTGTCTGTAGATGGTCAAAGGAGTTACTGTGTAGGTCGAATGGGACACTGCAGCAGCCCCTTCACAGGAGCAGGGAGGACCCTTCATCGAGGTCCCACCTCTCCCACCCTGGAGAACAGCAGTGTGTTGTGATTTGCTCTACTTGAAGATACTACACCAGCAAAGGCTCCTGGTGCCCCTGTCTCTGCCCTCCCGAGTCATCTCGGTGCTATAAAGCAGCTCTTGTTGCACGTACCCGGCCTCCAGCGTGTGAAGGGAGATCGGCAGGCAGGGACGTAACAGCAGCTGCCATCCCAAAGCACACAGGCTCCTCTCAAAGGCCACAACAAGAGGGATCTGAGCTTTACACAGAAAACAGAGATTGTTTTATTTTCCCTCTTCCTCCATGAGGAGTTCATCAATGGTATTGTTTCATTTCCACGTTCTCTTACCAGCACATCAGTTTCTGCTAAGAAGAAGTCAGAGCAGTTATTGAAAAATTAATTATGTCCTCTGCTGAGTATTGAATTCAACTTATTCCTGAAGACCTAGTGTATTTTTCAATCTATTGCAAGGGCTCAACCTTTGGATCAGCACTGGGAGGAACATTGTGTCATAGCAGTATGCTTCCACCTCTCCATTCCTCCTGAAACCATGCTTTTCCTACAGCTTTTTTCTCATTTACCTCCTTCTTGGCTGTTCAGTACTTTACAGTCGGGTAATACTTTGTGCTCCCCTATGGACAGTTGGTGGCCACAACCTTACAGATTTGGGGTTTGTGTGTTACGTCACCTATAAAATAGTTTGGGGCATCTTGGCTTGAATTTCACAGGAAAAAGCCTGCGTCCTTTGCAGTGGCTTAACCAACTGGAATGTCTGTAGAATTTTAAGAAAAAGACTGAAGACTTTAAAGTCCAAACTCAGCATGAGCCCATCACTTCCCTTTGAGAGGAATAGTCTCAAAGCAGACAGACGAAGCAAATAAAGATTTTTCCATTAGTTGGTTTGAACCCAGATACAGAAATTTTAGAGGGCAACACCCAAGACAGAAGTAATAAGGTATTTAGTTGCTAATTTTGACTATACATAAAGAAAAATGGTGCAGAAAATTCAGGATTTACTTCACCAAAAAGAAAAACTATTTGGTTCAGCATTCTACACCCTCTGCTGACGATAATTAGCCCAATCTGACTTGGGACTGCCTCTACACTTTACCCTGCCAACATCTCCTTTTCACATACCGCTGGTGTTATGTAAAAGAAAGTTATTCGCACAATGCAGCATATGCGTTTGGGGTTGTTTGGCTTTGACATCGTCCCTGTAACTCTTTCCAAATCTTCTCAGACCTCACTTTCATCCTGTTCCTTTTTCTGCAGTGCAAAATACACCAAACTCTTCCCTCTTTCTAGCTGCTTTTAGGGACAAAACACAAACTAATGGCTATCAGAGGGAAAATGGTCTCTCACAGGCAGAAAGAATTTATCCCCAAATGAACAGCACTCCTTTAAGCGTCTCTGCTGGAATCCTGCTCCGGTGTATTGGCGGGGATATACAAACAAATCTGTCCAAACACCTTATCTTCCCAAAACAAATCTGTTTCATGGTGGTTCAGAATTGTTGCGGCAACCTAAAATCCCCATGCAACATTGCTGAACTTGGCAACTTGGATGCAAGACACAGAGGTAAAATGCATTCAGTTGTGAATTACAGGGGGGGAAGAAAGAGGGAGATGGAATGTGCAGGTGACAGAAACCCTGCAGGCGAGAGCAGACACGGGGTTCATGAGAGATGTCGCCGTCCACACTGACCGTGGAATAGCACTGAGACCATTGGTGTTGTTTAAATTATACAATAAGCCATACAGTTCCCTTCCAAGTCTCACACTGAACTTTGTCCAACTGCACCTACCATACATTAGGTATATGGATCCACAGTTAATTATTGATATTGCAAAGGACTATTTGTCCTGAAAAAAAATAACATACATTACACCTATGTGCAGTTAACTGCATAGAGACTGTAATTCATCGTTGCTGACAAGCCAGGACAAATCCTACCTTTAGGATGCTGCCATTTTAGAATACCCTTTGGATTCATTTGCTTTCCCCACTCACTATCTAAACCTCAGCCCTACTCCTCTTCCTGGATCACTCACAAGCTGACCAACCTGACAGATCAGTTGTCCAAATT